AAATGTTGCAAAACTACTATTCCTCCCACCCCAAAAGACCTAAAGATGGTTTCCCAACAAAGGCCTACCCATACCCCTTCATAGTAAAGCTAAATTTAGCAAGTTCATTCATAGACTCAAATCCTCCAAACAAATTTTTAGTTCCTTATGCTTAATTGTGAATAGACAATCAAGGATCATTAGACATCTGAGGAAGCCTCACACATAGATAATATAGACCAAAGCAAATAAAAAGAAAAAGCTTGGAGGATACAGAGACGATGCAGGGAAAATAAAACTTAAATAACTTATTATTAATATCTTTAGAGAGTTAAGAGATGATATTGCTACCATTAAGAATAGGATAGTTAGTAAAAAAGAAAATCGGAGAACAAAAAAGAGCTCTTGGAAATTAAAATATGATAACAGAAATTCAAAAACACAACAGAAAGTTTGGAAGATTAAGTTGAGGAAGTCTTTAAGAAATAGAACAAATGACAGAAAGATGGAAAAGAGGACAGAAAGATAAGAAATCAGGAACATAAGGTTAGGAGATCCAACATTGAAATCCAATGTCCTAGAAGGAGAGATTAGAGAAATAGAGGGGGAAAAAATAATCAATGAAATATTCAAGAAAATTTCTTTTGAGTGAAAAATGTAAGTTTCCAGATAGAAAAGGCCACTTCAGTGCTAATCACAGTGGATGAATAGGCACTTTATTATAAAGCTAATGAACAATGAAGATAAAGAAAAGATCCTAAAAGCTTCCATATAAAAAGATAAGGAGTCAGAATACTTATAGATATCTCAAGAGCAACACTGGAAGCTAGAAAAAATGGAAATAATTTCTAACCCAAAATTCTATATTGAGCAAAATAATCAATTAAGTAGGAGAGATAAAGACGTTTTCAGATACACAAAATCTCATTAAATTTACTTCTCACATATTTTTTTTCTCAGAAAGCTACTGGTGGATATATACAACCAAAATGAGAGAGTATGTTAAGAAAGACAAATATACGAAATGCAAGAAACAGGAGATCCACTTCAGGGTGGCTATTATCCCTCAGACCTAGGACATAAATTGTTTGGATTGGAGCATTAGACATAAAAGTTTAGACATAAAAGTTTGTGTCTAAGGCAGCAATGTATTTTTCCTCCTTGAGTGAACAGGTAACCATGGTGAAAACCAATGGAACCTCACTTTTCTTATAAGATCCACATTAATGTTGGTATATGGATGAGAATGAAAACTGATATAATAAATATGTTTGTAAGATGATGGATTACAATAAAAACTGGTGTCTCTTTTAATCATTTTAGCAAGAGCCTTATGTTTAGGTTGTTTAGATTGCTTAGGTATAGAATAAAACCAAATCTGCTTGAATAAGGAGATTATATATATTATATATTGATATTATATAATGTATAAAATAAGTATATTATATATAGAATATAATATAAATAAAGTAAATATATATTTATATGTACATGTATGTATATGTATATATACACTGTACACACACATGAGGGCATAGTGTGTCTATGGAAAGATACATAAACAGCCGGAGATTGGAGTTGCCTCTGTGTGCTTAGGAAAAAGAAATGTGAGGGAGACTTTCTTTTCACTACTTGCCTCCTTGTTCCTTTTGATATTATGGACAGAATTCAGGGTAAAAGAGATAGTAGACTGGGGTCAGTTGGGTGGTGATTGTCATGTTCTTGGAATGAGAAAATAAGGGCCTGACTGAGAAATGAAGGGGTGGATGCTAAAGCTGGAGGGATTCGTGCCTGGCCAGGTGATGACCAAATGTGGCAGTACGGTGGAGGTGGGCAGTGGGTGTTGAGGGAAAGATCAGAAGGCAGTAGTCAGAGATGACTGTGCTTTCTAGCTTGGGTTGACAAATGTGAGGGCACTGAGTAAAGGAAACTGGCTTCAGAATGGCAGAGAAGAAGGTGAATTGCAAAAGAATAATAAGTAGTAGGGGCAGAAGGGGAAGACTTGGAGGTAGCAATTATAATTCACTTTCCTTCTTACCAAAAACTCATTTTCACTGGTCAGATCAAGTGCCTTATCATCCACAGCTTCTGGCCTTATAAGACAATGGAATGGCTTGTGGAAAACTCAGTAATGGGTCCTCTGGAGGCACCACCTTTGGAGGGCTAAAGCAGTGTAGTGCAAGATGTGGTATAGGCACTCAATCTGCCACCTACCCAAATGCTGTCTCTCCTATGGCCAGAAAGCATGAGGCTGGGAAATAAGGGAGTGGAAGGGGTGATGCTTCGCAAAATTTTCCCCAGATCTGCCACTTACTAAGTTAGCAACCTTGGGAAAATTGCTTTGATCTCTCTGTGCCTAAGTTTCCTCATCAGCAAAATGATCATCGTATCCCAATATCAACATCACAGGGTCTTTATGAGGATTAAATGGGTTACTGAATTTAAAGATTTAGGAGTCCCTGGTACAAGATAAACACCAGTAGTGTTAGTACTATCATTGAACCTAATGACCTCCTTCGACCTTCCTTGGCTTTTTTTTCCCTCCGGACATGGAACACAGAAGGTCTGGAGAATTTCATATACAAAGGAGGGATGTTTTTAACCAGAGGACATATTAATGTCTCTTCAATCTTTAAACAAATAGTTTTGAGGTAGTCTTTTAGGTGCCTGGGATCCATTGGTGAAGAAGTTAGACATATCCTAGACAATTTTCTGTTTTTCCAGAATTTTTCTGCATTTATTTATTTATTTTTAATTGAGATATGATTCACATATAACATTAATTTTAAGTTTACGAGATAATTATTTGATATATACATATACTGTGAAATGATTACCACAATAAGTTTAGTTAACCTCCATCACTACATATAGTTACAAATTATTTTTTCTTGTGATGAGAACTTTTGAGATCTACTCTCCTAGCAATTTTCAAATATATAATACAGTTCTGTGAATTTATTCTATAATCAAGATATTTTAAGGAGTACTTTTATATTAGCCTTTGTGCAGTGTGTATACGAGCGCATGATTTAAAAATTACACAGTATAAAAGGTTACAAATTGAAAAAAAGGTATTCCTTCCTTAACTCTAAATTTCCCATTTGTCCTCAGAAATAACCCCTCTTATCTGATCTTTTATGTCTCATTACTAAGATAAACATATAGAATTATATTAGCCCCCTTTTTCATATAGTGGTTAGAAGAAAGGGAAGAGGAGAGGGTTTGGGATGAGCCAAAGGCTTCTAGCTAGGGTGACAAGAGAATGGGGCTACCACAGAGATGTAAAAAAGAAGGAAGTACAATAGGAAGACAGGGAGTGACATCGGACTATACGGGTTGAGTAGGACTGCTGAAGTAGAAACCGAAAATGTAGACTTTTAATCAATTTAATAAAAATTTACTGAGAACTATTCCATACAAAATGTTAGGAAGTAGCAAGATGCTTAGAGTCTAAAGAAGGCAGGCGCAGGGCAGAGCACACAAATGGTAATAATACAAGGACGAGTTTGGCTAGCACAGCTGTCTGCAACCTTCTAGGGTCTACAGAACTATTTCTGTAGCTTGGGCCTCCCAAAGTTTTCTCTAGGGTGAGACTGAGGCTGCTCCATTCTTTAGTGATGCTGCTTTAGAGCCAGGATCTCTTAATTCATTTCTACTGGGCTAGTACATTTCTCTCCTGAGCCCAGTTTTCCTGTTGTTGAGAATGACATGCATAGACAGTCCCCAGATACAAGTTCACTAGCACTGTTCCGGGCCAGCAGATATCTCCTTAGGGCATCTGTAGGCTAAATCAGCCCCTGGATGATTTGCATCCTGTTCTTTCAAATTTCACTCCAGCTCTTGGTCTCTCAGCCATTAGTTGAAAGAGTCCTAAGCCTCTTTCCATTCATCCCTTTATCAAGATGATAGCTCTTTCTCCCAAGCTCTGCTTCCAGCCAGGTGAAACATCACAACAACTTAGGTATCACCAAAACCCTCACAAAGCATTCAGGAAACTACTGTTTGTCTTAAGTCCATTTGGACAAATTGTCCATCTGTTGTTTGCCCCAAGGCTTGTCGAATCACTAGACAGACTGGACATTTATGGGCATCTCTGTCGGTCAAGATCTTTTTTTCTCTCTTTTGAGTATTGTTATCTCTCTATTGGCTCTTGCATAGTTGCCCCAGGCCATCATCTCAGTTCATCTTTTTCAAGAAAAGAAGTAGAGTTCACGATGCATAGTACTCTCCTGCTTTATCCAGTGCTCTCTGCTAAGGCTTATTGATAGCTTGCTGGAAATGTGGATCCTTCTCAATATTAGCAACAGCCCATATAGAAATGGCTACAGGATTCCGAGCTGGTTCCATCTCCGTTTTTCCTAGTTTCTCAAATTTTCGGTTTGTCTTCTCATTGTTGTAAGCACTCTAGGCCACCGTTTTCCTCACTGACCCTTACAGAAGGACGAAAACTCTTAGCAGAGGATGGACTTTTCTTAGGGCATAGTAATTACATTATTACAGTACACATTTCTTTATATTGAAAACTGTTAATATAAACACTATAAAGCAATAAAATATGTAGCTTCCACTCAGACTGAAGAGGTAGGTGTTCAGTCACAGGCATACCTCAGAATTCAGAGTAGATAAAAGCCACTATTCCAGGAAATGGGAGTTTTACAGAAAACATAATTTGTAAAATTAAGAAAAGAGGCCAAATCTGAAACAGCAAGTGTTAGTACTAAACAATATTCCTGAGCCAGGAGCCAGTCAGGTGGCTTGGCCAACAAGCTCCGAAGTTAAAGGAAGCAGATAAAATCTGCTCCTGGCATAGGGAGCAGAGCTTGTATTATAGGGAGGCAATTTCACTTAGAGGGAGTTCTGGAGGCCCCAGATTTATTAATGATAATTTCTTGTCTTCTAGGAAGGATTAGAGAGACGATAAAAAGTTCAGCCAAAAACTTGAAAAGGGAAGTGTATAAAAAATGGATAGTCAGCTGGACTTTACTCTTTAGCTAAAAATGTGTAGCACTTTTTTTCACCTGAGGCTGTCGTCGAAGTGTTAACATCACACCGGACTTCATCAAATCTTTCAGATGCACGATTTTCTACTCTGGAAAAATAGAAAAAAGAATTAGGTGAGATTTCACGATAGAGCCATTTTTCTTTCTAGATTTCAACAACAAGGACAGAATATAGGGGGGGGTCATTGCAGTAGTAACAAGTGGAAACCAACTATTGAAGAGAGAGGTGGAGAAATGTTATCCAGGCTTCCTTCAATAACTACTCTTTTTTTGTTGTTTTTTGGTCTGGGCCTGCCCCTGCCCTATGCTGAGTCCCTCCTTCCTTCCTCTGCAGGCATTTCTGGACCATTTCTGAACCACTTCTGAACTGAGTCTGATGGGGCAGGCAAGATCTCAGCTCCCAGGCTCGCTATCTAGGATCCCTAGACTTACAGTGGCTGGTGTATCCAGAAAAGTGCTGGACACTCCAGGAGCTATGCACTCTGGGGTCATGACCGTGTCTCTGTGACCAGGCTCTTCACTGAGGGTTGCTTTGACCCCCATGACCATGCAGCCAAAGCTTTGATATTCTTGATAAGCCCAGTTTCTCAGGGGGGATAGAGTTACAGATAATCTGATTACACCATGTTTTGAAAGGTCTCATCACCAGGAATCTTCATGTATACACTCATTCTTTCAACAAATATTTATTGAGCACCAACTATATTCCAGGCACTATGCTGGGTGCTGGCAGCACAATGATGAAATTAACTGATATGATCCCTGCCCTCTGTAGAGTTTAGTTTAGTTTATAAAGTTTAATAAGATAATTACACAAATATAGAAGTATACTTGGTGTGATAAAGGAAAAGGACAGGGATTTACATGGCACTATAATAGGCTGATATAATGTAGTTTGGGAAAGGTTTTTAAGAGTGCTGCTTGAGCCAAGGTCTGAAGAATGAGGTGAACAAGTGGCAGAAAAATAATCCAAGCAGAAGGCACAGCAGATGCAAAGACACAGAAGTTAGAGGGAATATGTTATCACTCACGTGTTCATTTATTCATTCCATACGTGGACACCCACTATTCCAGGCACTGTGCTAAGTACTGAGGTTACTATGGTGAATAAGATGTAGCCCATTTTCACCATTGGTATTAATTTTTTACTTGACAGTGACTGAGCTTGCCATGCCCATTGAACACTGTACATTGGACATGCTGCCATCCATTTACAACTAGGACACATTTTCCTTCACTTCCTAATTAGCCCCACTTTCCTGTCCCTCTCCATTAGTTCATGTTTGCTGGGGTCTCGGCATGCCTCAGACATAAGCCTATTCGAGTTACACAACCTTTGGGAATTGGACCTTTCAACAATGTTGCAGGGTCAAGACTTACATTTCTTTGGCCCGTTCACTTTCTCTCTCCTCCATGTTGTTGGCTTCTGAAAGAAACCAAAACAACCTCAGAAAATGTATTGCCCATCGATACTAAAAGAGGGAAAGTTTGAAGAGCCTCCAAAGTACTAGGACTCAGAGAGAAATCGTTGTAGCCTTATATGTGGAATAGATGGTGACTTGATGCAGTTTCAGGGGACTCAGAAGGAACACCTTGCATCCAAAAAGTAAATGCCATCTTTTGTTCTCTGTGCCTTAAGTTTTAATGTGGGGTATAGGTTTTTCTCTTAGAGCTCTAGTCTTTGCTGAAATAAAAATAATACTGGGAGGGATAATACATTTTGGTTTTAGCAATTATTTAGTGCTCATAAAAGAGTTTCCAATCTTTTCCTGAAAGTAAGGCTTAGGAGGAAAAGGAAATCTGAAAGATGTTGATGCCGAAATAGGTTAGCCAGTTGGCACTACCAAATACTACACCAATGTTGCATGGACCGACTCAAGTGGGAAATCTTTAGTTGGCTAGATCTCCCAAAGCCTGAGTAGCTACTGGTATGAACTTGCTACTGATGCAACTTGGGGTGTAAATTTTTATAGGATGACTACTGTGACAGTGCTAGTGTCCCATTCAGAGCCTTACAGCAGGTTTTGTTAACCTGGGTGTCCATAGAAGAATTTGAGGACCACAGATATCCCCTCAACAACATCCCTGATGGTTTTGAACACTTCTTATCATTGGCAGTCCGTGTGTGTGTGTGTGTGTGTGTGTGTGTGTGTGTGTGTGTAAAAATAGTCAGCTTTATTGAGGTATAATTAATATACAATAAAATCCAATTATTTTCCATATGGATTTTGATGAGTTTAACAGATGTATGCAGTCATGTAACTACTACCATAACTAAGGTATAGAACATTTATATAAGCCCCCAAAGTTCCCTGCCCCTTTTCAATCAGTTCTTTTCCCCTACTCCATCCCCTGGTAACCACTGATGTGCTTAACGTCACAAAAGTTTTGCTTTTTCTAGAATTTCATATAAGCAGGATTATATAATGTGCATTTTTTAGTGTGTGTGCATGATGTTTTTCACTTAGCATAATGCTATTGAAATTCATCCATGTTGTGGTTTGTTACCAGTACTCCATTCCTTTCTATGTCTTAGCAGTATTTCATTGTATGAATGTACTACCACTTTTTAATTCATTCCCCAACTGATAAAAATTCAAGATGTTGGGTTTGCAGTATTATGAAGAAGGTTGCTATGGACATTTGTGTGTATGCCTTTGTGTAGATATATGGTTTTTATTTCCCATGGGTCAATATCTAGGATTGCTAGGTTGTATAGCAGTGCATGAGAATTTCGTTTGCATCACATCTTCTCCAGAACTTGGTTTTTATTAGTCCTTTTCATTTTTAGCCATGTTAGTGGCTGTGTAGTGATATCTCATTATAGTTTTAATTTGTACATCCCTAATGACTACTGATGTGACTGTGTACCTATGCTTATTGGCTATTTACATATCTTCTTCTAAGTATCTGTTCAAATCTTTATCTCCCTGCCTTTTGTTAAATAGATTGTCTTCTTATTACTGAGCAGTAATATATATTCCAAAGATAGACATTTTTGTAACTTTTTCTCTTAGTCTGCAGCTTGACTTTTCATTTTCTTAACAAAGTGAAAGGCAAACATTTTTAATTTTGATAAATTTTGGTTTATTAATTTTATATTTTTATGATATATGGTTTGTGCTTATTGTGTCCTATCTAAGATTTGGCTAAGGTAAAGTCACAGGGATTTTCTGGTTTTTTTTTTGTTTTTTTTTTGTTTTTTTTTAAGTCTTTTAATTTTAGCTCTTATATTTAGATATATGATCCACTTCCAGCTATTTTTTAGATGTCTAGGTTCATATTTTTCCAGGTAACTATCTAATAGTCCCAACACCATCTACTAAAAAGATTATCCTTTCTGCCTGGAATTATCTTGGCAAAATCAGTTGACTATGTGAGCTTATTTTTTGACTCTCTGTTTTGTTGCATTGATTGATATGTCTGTGCTTTCACCAATACCATGCTGCCTTGTTACAATAGCTATATAGTAAATCTTGAAATAAAGTAGTATAAATCCTCCATCTTTGTTCTTCTTTTTCAGAATTGTTTTGGAAATTGTAGGTCTTTTGCATTTCCACATAACTTTTAGAATTAGCTTTTTAATTTCCACTAAACAGCCTGCCAGGGATTTGATTGGTATTGCATTAAATCCATTAATCAATTTGGGGAGAACTGGTATCTTAATGTTTAGTCCATGAACATGGCATATTTCTCCATTTATTTAAGTCACTTTAATTTTTGTTAAATAGTAATGTGTTTTAGTTTCAGTATACAAGTCTTATACTTGTTTTTAAAAAATTTATTCCCAAGTCTTTAATATTATTTGATACTACTACAAATGATATTTAAGTTCTTTCAGTATCCAATTGTTTGTTGTCAGTATATAGACATACAATTCCTTTTGATATTGTGCACTGACCTTGTATCTTGTGACTTTGCTACACTCAATTAGTTCTGATAGCTTTTAATGGATTCTTTAAGCTTTTCTACAAACATGATCATGTTAACTACCACACACAAAAAAAAGAGAGAGTTTTGCTTTTTCCTTTTCAATATGTATGCCCTTTTTTTTTTTCTTCTAGACTTGTTGCACTGGCTAGGATCCCCAGTACGATGTTGAACAAAAAATAGTGAGAGTGACATTCTTGCTTTATTCCTGATTTTAGGTGGAAAGCAATCAGTCTTTTATCATTAAATATGATGCTATCTGAAGAATTTTGGTAGATGTTCTTTGTCAGGTTGAGAAAGTGCCTTTGTATTTCTACTTTTATAAGAATTTTTCTTTCTTTTTTAAAATTATGAATGAGTATTAATTTTTCTAAATGCATTTTCTGTATGCATTGATATAATTACATGATTTTTTTTAGTCTGTCAACATGGTGAATTTTAATGTTTGATTTTTATATGTAGAACCTATTTTATGGTTCTAGAATAAACCCCAATTTATCATGATGTATCATACTTTTAATATATTGCCACATTTTAGTTGCTAATTTTGCTAAGGATTGTTCATAAGGGATGTGTGTAGTTTTCTTTTTTTGTAATGCTTTTTCAAGTTTTGGTATCAGGGCTCCCCCTACCTTCAGAGCAGCCTGGGCACTGGACTCCAGGCAGTATAGGACTCACCTCATCTTTTCTCTTTGGGACTACAGTTTTCTGCAGCCTGTTGTTCAGTGTCTGGAAACAGTTATGGTTTGTCTGATGTCTAGTTGTTTATGGGCAAAGGGC